TGACGTATTCAGCTTGGATATAATTGAGAGTACAGGTTATACTAATGTTAACGATTTTAATTTATAAATTATACTTGTGCGTTGCGTGTTCATGATTCATAATTAGTAAACAGCTTTATTTACTTTTACCACGTGATATCAGCGTAGGTATACGTAAGAGGTGACCATGAGGAACGCCAAAAAAACTTATGGCTTCCGATAGATGACGGTATATTATTTTGTTAGTCTCTAGCATTTGCGTGACTACCCAGATGGACTCCTAGGCCAAACCGGAGTTTTACCACCTAACCATGAGGCATTTCGTCAAAGACCTCAAGTACGATAACCTTAGTTTAATTGATAGAATCAGGCGTTACTTTGCGGAAATCCATTATAATAAAAAATAAAAATATAAATTTCTTCACAACCTTCCGCTAAATAAATACAATGATGTGTCTTACCTGGATTGAAGAGCACCTCCCGCCCTCCCTCAATTGCATGCTCTAACTCCGTCACCACTAGTCCCAGCACCACTACTCCCAACACCACTATTCCAGGTAAGACACACCATTAACGATAATACGACACGTGTTTCGCCTCTACACGAGGCATCTTCAGGTAATGTAGACTCTACGGCGACTGACCGCTAAGTGAGGGATTTTACTGCTATATCTATTTTCCCAAACTTCATCTTGCATGAAAAAGAACGTTGAAAATTTAAATGTCTTTTATTTTCAAAATTTGTTTGTTTAATTTACATACCACTAAAAAGATTTTCATGTAAAATGTTGCCAAGACGGGACCATATGGCTCGCACTGTCAAAAAGTTTTCAGATCTCATGTAGAGCTTCTAACTCTACACGCACTAACTCTACAAACCCTAACTTAGGAAACTCTACACCTTAGTCAAAATATATTGGCCGTTACTCCTATCTAAAAAGCCAGCAAAGCACCTGCGATTCCCTTGGTGCTGCAGTTGTTCAAGGGCGACAGCACTCGCTTACTATCAGATGAACCGCATGCTCGTTTGCTCGAGCTGCAAAGGGAAATTCAGATTCAGTGCAGTAATTATATGATCTATACACATAATAAATCTATAGAAAAGTAGTGTTCGTAATTCTAATATTTAGTGGAAAATCAAATTCAGGGGACAACACAAACAAACAAAGAATGCTAAGGCCATTATAACGCCCGTGTGACCTCTATAATACGGTATTTATTAATTTCTTTTTTAACATCTCTCTAGATATCTTCGTGTAAATCTCAATGGGCAATTTAACACTTCATTTAAAAATAATACTTTATGTTTTATTTGCTGTTTTGTTAAATATTTCCTTTTTAAACTTGTTTATTTCATTTAAAATGTTAGTGAGTAAATATATTTTTTTTAAATGATATTAAAGTTATTTAGCAACCATTCGCTAATTAAATAAAATGATGTGTCTTACCTAGTTTGAAGAGCACCTCCCTCCCTCCTCCAATTACCGCCTTGTTGATTCTACGGCGGTACAGTGAACATCACGTGAAGATGCCTCGTGTAGAGGAGAAACACGTGTCGTATTATCGTCGATAGTGTGTCTTTCCTAGAATAGTGGTGTTGAGAGTAGTGGTGCTAGGATTGGTGGTGACGGGATTAGTGCACGCAATTGAGGGAGGGCGGGAGGTACTCTTCAAACTAGGTAAGACACATCATTTTATTTAATTAGCGGATGGTTGCTAAATAACTATTAATATCATTTATTACAATGGATTTCCGCAAAGTAACGCCTGATTCTATCAATTATATTTTTTAAGCTATTGCATAGCTTCTATCGCGGGCCTTGAGCGCGGGGACCGAATCCAGAAATTCCGTAACGAAAAAAAAACCTCACGCTCCCCACTCCGACGGGTACGGAGGTGTGGCGTTGAAAGCCGTGCATCGTCTAACGTCGTTTCAGTTCGGCAGACTTCGGCACTCGGCAGACTTCGGCACGGTGTTTGTGTGCGTGCGACTAGACGTATGCGTGTACACTAGCTGCTAACTCAATGATAAAAATTCCTGAATAACCTACATGTATTGTAAGATATTAAAAATATTTTCAACAATATTAACTTCTCATTTATTTAATAAGAGAAAAAAATTGTTTTCTTATCGGTCATCACGCTCAAAAAGTGTAACTTGATTTAATATCAAAGACTTAACTGCATAAATAAAATAAATAAATAATTATAATTGCATAAGTTGATAAAAAATGCTATGCAATAGCTTTACCGCGGCAGTCACCGAGTGCCACACGTATTTTTTTATTTATCAGCATGTAAAAGGTCCTAGCTTGGCTAGAGCCTTTCTCGTTGTAGAGAGATTTATTCACGATGTTTGGCAACTTAGATGCTGGCGTTGATGCTTGACAGCGTCTTACGATTTTACGCCTTAATATCACAGAGTAAGCTTTCTTTACTCATGTGTTAATATTTCACGCCTGATGTAAGTGAGATAGTTGTATTGCCATCTGTCGAGTGCTTTATGATATTTGCAGAAGGAAACGAAATGATGAATGAAGAAGTCTTAAATTATAATGCTAAGAGGGCATCTGCATTTATCGATAAGCTGTATGCTATACTAAGTCATCACTTCACCTATTTATTTATTTAACAGTTTATGTCCGCATACATGGTAGAGCCATGTCACAGTTATATCATGACAAGCGGGGAAGGATCACGTTCTCACAAAAGTAATGTTAAAGCCTGTACACATCCCACTCACAAAATACCAGCATAAAATAACTGCTCAATGCTGCTATGTGAATTGCTGTATTTCGTATGGTGAGTGTAGTCTCCTCATCATCATCATAAAAGCCCTTCAAAAGTCCACTGTTGAACATAGGCCTCCCCAGTAGTCATTTTTTATATGATGAACAGCTAGGGTATTTTCCATTTAACAATTATTTTTGAATAATGGTGACCAGCAGGTTCACGGCCCACCAGATTGTAAATAAAAAAATTGGGCCATTGACATTTACATCAAAACGCTGATGTGTTGTGAATGTTGTAGTTTCACACTCACCGTATGAAACACAGCAGCTTAAGCTACTGTTTTACGCTGGTGTTCAGTGCAAGCGCGGTCCTTCACCGGTCGAGTCGACCCATTTGTGTTATAAAGCTGCAACGTTCGGTTTAGCAATAAAAAATAAGAACCGAAAGTATATAAGAGAGAAAAGTATTATTTTTCTTTTACTCGGTTCAGTTATTTCGTTTCTTGCTACTCGTAATGTTAAGTTATGTTATTATGGGTATAATAACATAACTTTTAAAATAAAACGGTTATAGAGGGTTCTATAACCGTTTTATTTTATTTGTGTCCTATTAGTATATTGTTCAGCTGTCACAAGAAAGGCAGTAGTCGTTCAGTTCTCAATATATCGCAAAATACAACACAAAGGAATTAATTGAAGATGGTGAAATGTTTTAAAACGTGGTAGAGCTATGCTGTAGCTTAGTAGTTGAAGCACAAATGGATCAGCTCGACCGGGAAAAGATCACGCTCTCACAGAATACTAGCGTGAAATAGCAGTTTAATGCTGCTGTGGTTGGCATGGGGAGTGTAGAAAACCGGAGACACTTTTTACTGGAAACGAGGCTAGATGTAGATGTCTAGGAGGTGGCAACATCCACTTAACATAAGGTGGACCGTTCGCTCGCTTCTTTTTTTATAGGAGAGGGGGCAAACGAGCATACGGTTCACCTGATGTCAATTGACTACCACAGCCCATGACCAACCGCAACACCAGGGGAATTGCAGGTGCGTTGCCGGCCCTTTAGAAAGAAGTAAGCTCTTTTCTTGAAGATCCCCAGGTCATATCGGTTCGGAAAAATCGCCGGTGGTAAATTATTCCACAGAGAGGTACTTACACTTATTCTATAAAAAATATTTCACTGGCTCTACAGCTCAAAGAACTGTCAACTGAGATGAGAAGAAATGTTAATGTAATTGATAATATTAATATAATAATAAATCTAATAATCGATATTACCATCCCGTATGACGAGAACCTCGTGAAAGCCGAAACAGATAAGCATTCAAAATATCTGGACCTGGCTCACGAGATGACCGACATGTGGGGTGGTCTGCCGACCGAAATTATTCCTGTAGTCGTCTCTGCGAATGGGCTAATCCCAGTTAGCCTCTCTGGTCATCTGAGGCGACTGGGACTCCGTGACGGACCGCTCCGGGCTCAAATGTAGAAGGCGGTACTCCTTGATACTGCCCGCATCGTCCGCCGGTTTCTTTCCCTTTCCCCCTAACCCTCGGCCATTTGGTCTCCCCTGCCGAGGGCTTCCATCTGGTTTTTCTTTTATTTATTTATGTAATTTTGTATTTATTTTATTTTATTGATATTTATGTATATTTATCTTTTAATTTTCATTTATAATTATATATTTATAGATCCCAACCAGATGAGAAAACTATATAGATACCCCCCATAATAATCTAACAAATTTTTTAAAGTTAAAGAATAGATGAAAAGAAGTTTTACCTCTATAAATAGTTTATACTACAATAATAATAATAATAATAATATGGCGTAGGGAAGTGACGACCCCATCGCCCCCATCGCTGACGTAACGTTTATGTGACAAAACCGCTACTACTAGAAGTGTTAGTGCCGTGCCTCGGCAAAAATTGAAGGTGCAAAGGGCAGGTCTGGGCGTCTCCCGTTAAATGACGCCCACAAAACTGGAGGATGGATTTGACTAGAATGTGCAAAAGGCCGCTGCCTGGAGGTTGCCAGGGCGCGTCTGGAACTGGCGCTGGACGCGACAGTATGCGAACCGCCAGCTGACGAGCGCGAGGTGCTGCATGACCACCCAGCAGCCCCTCGCATCCATCATCCCCGCCAGCAGGCTTGGTGTCGGCAGGGTCTTCGCGGGCCCAGCAATCGGCACCCGCACTTGTGGAGCACGCCGCATGCGTTGGACAACTCAAATGAACAACAACGCATTGCGGGCGTATTTTAAGGCGAAAGGGGGAGAAATCGGAGGTTTTGCGTATCGGGCAAGGATGCATCGATTTTTTTGTTGAGCTGGAGCTATCTGTAACCGTCACCGAGCAAAACCTGGCAGACCGAGTTCGGTATATCTTGCGCTCTACATTTGATGTCACCGAAGTCGAACGGCTACGACGTGAGACTGTTCTTTCATCGGATGAAAATGCTACGGTTGATGATGCGGCGCCACAATTTGCAGAGCAACCGGCAAGCGTGGATGCCGCCGTGAATACCCCAGTTTTGGTTGATTCAAACGATGATGGAACAGTCAGCCAGGAACTGGAACTGGAGCAAATGAGGAGTACATTGGATGAGGCAATTTTGGAAACGCGCAGTACGCCTCTCGAAAACCGACCGCGACTTCCCCGCATAGCCCTAAGCAAGCGGAATCGTGAGGGCTCTGAACCCGATATTGGTGACCTATTTGGAAGCCAGCCGGGATCTTTGCGAGACGGACTCAATTCTCTATGGCGCCGCACTGGCAGTCCGCTGTAGGCGCCATAGGCGCTAAACTTTCCACGGCTGGACGCACTACTGGACAAAGTAGTGCTATCCCAGTCTGGAGAACAAGAATTGAAGAACGTATCACAAAGGCTAAGGCCCTCATCGGCAGACTGATATGCTGCAGGTCAGGCAATAACAGGCTAAGAATTGTGCGCACCGTCAGGATATAATGCAAAAACTGAAGGAGCGCATAGACGACCTGAAGCAGAGAATCGCTGCTTGGGGAAAGTGGATTCGGCGATATACCGAGAGGTCGACACGGTTCAACCAGAATCGTCTCTTCCAGAGTGATCAGAAGAGGCTCTATAAATCATTGGAGCGACCAATGGTAAGTGGAACGGGCCCAGTACCGAATTAGGCCGACACGGTCGCATTCTGGCGCAGCCTGTGGTCAGAGCCCGTAAACCACAACGAGAGCCCTTGTACGGAAGTTGTGGCGAGTCAGTGTGCTGATATTACGCCCATGGAGCCCGTCATCATAACGCCGGATGACGTAGCTGAGGTGGTCCGTAGGACCCCGAACTGGAAAATTCCGGGGCTTGACGGGCTGCATCACTACTGACTAAAGGGGTTCATGGTGTGTCACGCTGTGCTCGCCCGACAGTTTCAAGAGGCTCTCAACCAGACGTTGCTCCCGAGTCACTTCACTACTGGGATCACTCATTTGGTTCCTAAAGATCCGGGTGCCACAGACCCGAGCAAATACCGCCCCACCACGTGTCTACCGACCATATATAAGACACTAACATCCATTTTGAGCGCGAGGATCACTCGTCACCTGGACTCAAATCAGGTGATGTCGCGCGCTCAAAATGGATGTCGGGCGGCGGTCGTTGAACCAAGGAACCACTCCTCATTGACGAAGTCATTGGCAAAGTGGTGAAACGCAACCGTCGGAACTTCTCCACCACCTGGATAGATTAGAAGAAAGGCATTCAACTCGGTGCCTCATACATGGCTAAAGATCTGTACTTGATCTGTACATCGAGCTGTACAAGATTGACTGTACAGTTCAAGACTTCCTCGAGCAGTGTATTGGGCCGTGGAGTACGATCCTCTGTCATCTAGGCAAGCGGATGACGGCTGCGGAAAGCCGCATAAGGATAAGAAGGGGTATATTCCAGGGCGACTGTGTGAGTCTAATCTGGTTCTGCTTCTCTTTGAACCCTCTCAGTACTTTACTGGAGGGCTCCGGGAAGGGATTTCAGCTTCGGAAAGGAGGTACAAAAGTTAACAAAATTAATTAAACATCTTATGGAATTGCTAAACATCACTTGTGAATTTAGCAATTCTATTAGAATGGAGCTGGGGACGGATAAGTGTGCGGTCCTCCATGCTGAAAGGGGAAGGGTTGCTAACTCTGAAGGCATAGACTTATCTATGCCCGTCAACATAAGACCCTTTCCGAGGCTGAAAAATACCGATACCTGGGTATGTCACAGAACATCGGTATCGATGAGGCTGGTATGAAACAGTCAGTTTGCGACGTGTTTTATGCATGCTTGACCAGGCTCTCAACCAGACGTTGCTCCCGAGTCACTTCACTACTGGGATCACTCATTTGGTTCCTAAAGATCCGGGTGCCACAGACCCGAGCAAATACCGCCCGTGTCTACCGACCATATACAAGACACTAACATCCATTTTGAGCGCGAGAATCACTCGTCACCTGGACTCAAATCAGGTGATGTCGCGCGCTCAAAATGGATGTCGGGGCGGCGGTCGTTGAACCAAGGAACCACTCCACATTGACGCGATCATTGGCAAACTGGTGAAACGCAACCGTCGGAACTTCTCCACCACCTGGATAGATTACAGAAAGGCATTCGACTCGGTGCCTCATACATGGCTAAAGATCCGTACTTGATCTGCTGTACAAGATTGACTGTACAGTTCAAGACTTCCTCGAGCAGTGTATTGGGCCGTGGAGTACGATCCTCTGTCATCTAGGCAAGCGGATGACGGCTGCGGAAAGCCGCATAAGGATAAGAAGGGGTATATTCCAGGGCGACTGTCTGAGTCTAATCTGGTTCTGCTTCTCTTTGAACCCTCTCAGTACTTTACTGGAGGGCTCCGGGAAGGGATTTCAGCTTCGGAAAGGAGGTACAAAAGTTAACAAAATTAATTAAACATCTTATGGAATTGCTAAACATCACTTGTGAATTTAGCAATTCTATTAGAATGGAGCTGGGGACGGATAAGTGTGCGGTCCTCCATGCTGAAAGGGGAAGGGTTGCTAACTCTGAAGGCATAGCCTTATCTATGCCCGTCAACATAAGACCCTTTCCGAGGCTGAAATATACCGGTACCTGGGTATGTCACAGAACATCGGTATCGATGAGGCTGGTATGAAACAGTCAGTTTGCGACGTGTTTTATGCATGCTTGACCAAAGTGCTTAACAGCCTTTTGTCCGGTGTGAATAACACACACGCATATAACGGCTGGGTCATGCCTGTCCTCATGTATACCTTTAGCGTACTCAGGTGGAGTCAGACTGAACTTAACGCCCTGGATAAAAAAGTCCGCACTGCAATGACGTCCCATAGGATGCATCATCCGATATCGTCGGTAATGAGGTTGTACTTGCCGCGGAAGCATGGTGGGCGTGGCTTTTTGAGCGCGCTCACCATGCATAATCACGAAGTGTTCAGCCTCCGTAATTACTTCCTGGCGAGATCGGATGATCCATTCTGTAAGGACGTCATTTTTGTGGTAAAGGACTTACCGCTCTATACTTAGCCAACGAGCAATGGCAGGACCCAGGAGTACAGAGCATTTCCAACCGGGAGACCGTATGACAAGAGAAGGAGTTCCACGGGAGGTACTACGGGGCTCTACATGAGCCCCACGTAGATACAGCCGCCTCCCTTAACTGGCTACGTTTCGGTGACCTCTTCGGGGAAACCGAGGGTTTTGTCTGTCCAATACAGGATCAGGTTATTAAGATCAACAACTATCGGAGATACATCCTAAAGGATGGCACTATCGACATCTGTCGAGCTTGTCGCCATCCCGGGGAGTCACTTAGGCATGTAATCTCCAGTTGTTCGGCGCTTTCTAACTCTGAGTACTTGCACAGGTACAACCTAGTAGCCAGAATTCTACACCAGGAGCTTGGTCTGAAATATGGCACATGGACCGGAAATTGCCGTATTACAAGTACTTGCCGGAAGCCGTGCTCGAAAATGACCGCGCCAGGCTCTGCTGAGATAGGGCCATCATCACAGACAGGACTATTCTTGCGAATAAGCCTGTTATTGTGCTGATGAATCGGGCACAGACAAGGATATTTTTCGTCGACATTACCATTCCGTATGACGAGAACCTCGTGAAAGCCGAAACAGATAAGCAATCAAAATATCTGGACCAGGCTCACGAGGTGAGCGACATATGGGGTGGTCTGCCGACCGAAATTATTCCTGTAGTCGTCTCTGTCTCTGCGAATGGGCTATTCCCAGTCAGCCTCTCGGGTCATCTGAGGTGACTGGGACTCTGTGACGGACCGCTCCGGGCTGAAATGCAGAAGGCGGTGCTCCTCGATACCCCCCGCATCGTCCGCCGGTTTCTTTCCCTTTCCTCCTAACACTCGGCCGTTTGGTCTCCCCTGCCGAGGGCTTCCATCTAGTTGGGCTTTTATTTATTTATGTATTTTAGTATTTATTTTATTTTATTGATATTTATGTATATTTATCTTTTTATTTTAATTTATAATTATATATTTATAGAACCAATAAATGAAAATAATAAATGAAAGTGAAATAAATAAAAATGAGTTAAAGTATAGGTAGCATTATCAACAGCAACAGTGTTCGTGAGTCAGCTTTGTACTTACAAGCATTTTAGGGCATTTCCTAACTAAATGACTCGACGACCTAATGAAACAAGGGCTTAAAATAATGTCTGAGCGCGAGGGATTCCATTTTATAGCCGTGTGTGAGTATCGGGATTTATTTTTGTCGTTTCGTTTAACGACTTTGTCCATTTCAACTTTACTTGTATTTTTCGCAAAGTATGAAAGTGTTTCTTCGTCGGGTTTTATCAATGTGACCTTATAGTACGGTTCCACCGAAATTGTTTACGTTATAATTTATTTACAAAAAAATTATGCACATCTTCAATAATCAGAGTTTAGAGCATGTGTGCGTAGGAGTATGGACACGTGAAAGAAGCTAGAGAGGTGTGTCAGGATCGTGCCAAATGGAAGTCTTTAGCATTAGGTGACAGAGTTTAACTATTATGTATTGTAGTACAGAACTTAATTTATTTGTTACACAAAGAAAAGGGGCCTGCTGTTGTCCGACTTCATGGAGACAGAGGGACTCTTTATGATTAACTTTTTCTTTCTGAAAAAGTCCCATAGAAAGTGGACCCAGTGAAACCCCGACGGTTCGACCTAACGGCGACTGTTCAGTGATGTCTCAGTGATTGCGAGGATGAAAACTGGCAGCAATCACCAAATGGTGAAAGCCACCTTACCTAAACTTTAAGTTGAAGAGTTCACGTCTAATCAGTCAACGCTCCGTCCCCTGTGTGCTCTCATACAAAATCCCGAAAACATTCAAAAATTTACAAAACAGTTTTCAATGTCTAGAAGACTGCAATGCAGTAGATGATACGAATGAAAAGCTCGTGGAACGAAAAAAAAAAGTTCCTCAAGACCCGTTGTAGAAGAACACTTAAACTCTTATCCATGGTTGTTAGACATGATATGAAAATGTAGTCTTCAGCAAATAAGACAGCATACAGGTAACTGAACGTACACATCTCCAAATGCATGCGGCGGGACTTACGCAACTTCAACACAGCTCGTACTGATGAAGTGATTGAGCGGAATCAGGGCTCAAAAGATTTTGTCCGGAACACTTGAGATTTTGAGTGAAATTAAGAGGTTCTAAGGGCAGCTATACACGTCATCGTTGGAGCATACGCAAGTGTGAGTAACGATTCAAGACCAAGCCTTATCCAACACTATTCCGATGATATTCTGGA